TTTTGCATCCTTAACAATATATATTCTTTGATTCTAACCTCCATATATTAGGAGTAAACCGATTTCGTTTTATACGAGAATAAGTATTTTGTTTAGTTCAACATGCACTGCACATGCGCATGCGATTCTCAAGCTACTGGAAACTTGCTTTCTAAAAGATAATCTAATTGGAGCTGCGAAAATTAGCTCTCTGACAGCTGCCTGAATGATTCAATACACTTCAACGTGATTTAGTGAAATGATTAGAAACAGCTCGAATTAAACAAAATTTTTTATTTTTTACTCTAAAAAATAAATAGTTTTAGAAGTACTAAAGGAAGTTGAAAGTCTGTCTCATAACTTACAAAATGAAGAATATATTAAGAATTCTATACAAATTGTGGATGATATGCTTTCAGAATTGAAAAGAGTTGTTACCTGAAAAAGAAACTGAACTGAACTTCCTTTCAGAGCAAGTAAATAAACTAAATGTAAAGAAAGAGAAGTATCGATATACTCCAGATTTACTTATTTTTTGCAGTTTGTTAAACTCGATCTCACCGCATGCATACAAGTTTTTACGACATTCAGGTTACATTTCTATTCCCCATCCACGTACTATTCGTAGAATTTATTCAATTTGTTTTCTTTTTTAATTAATCCTATACTGAGCAATTTAATGATGACTTTTTAGGATATGTTAAACAAAGATGCAAGGATTTAGAAGAAAATGATAAAACTGTAATTATTATGATGGATGAAGTGCATTTAAATTCATGTTTCGATTTTAAAGGAGGAAAGGAAAAGGAGGAAATTTGTGTGGCATGGCCTACAACTGTGAAAAAGCTGCTACAAGTGCTTATGTTTTTATGATACGTAGCTTATTATCACCTTTCAAGGATGTGGCACATATATTACCAGTTAAATCATTAAATGCTGAGGATCTGTATCAATATCTTAAGAAAATTATAATTGGTTTAGAAAATATAGGTTATAGAATTGTGGCAGTTGTCTCTGACAATAATTCAATAAATAAAAAAAGACATGTCATTATTTTGTATGCCTCCAAAAATTAGTGTATAAAAACCCTGCAGACTTATCTCGGCCACTATTTTTTGTTATTGACTCAGTGCACATCTTGAAGTGTGTCAGGAACAACTGGATAAATCAAAAAACTTCTGGGAAATATTTATTTTATCCAAAGGTTTTGAAATTTTTCCAAGGTGCGGCATTTGCATGCATAAAAAGTCTCCATTCATTAGAGGCAGGCAGAATTGTAAAATATAGTTATGGTTTGACTCTGAAAGCACTATATCCAACCAGTTTGGAAAGATAAAATGTCAAGCTTGCATTACAAATATTTGACAGTCATCTTGCAGAGGCAATAATGGTTATTGATGAAGAAAATAGTATTTTAAATTACGAAACAACAGCTGAATTTATTATTAAAAATTATATCTACATGGTCAATGTCAAAAGTATCTTTAAAGGACACCATAAGATGAATGAGTATCAAAAGCCGTTAACTGTGCAAATGATGATGTTAGATATATTTATTTAAATAAGTTACTTGAGTGGTTAGATCAGTGGAAACTTTTAGGCTGTTCTAGTGGTGGACTAACTAAGGAAACACATTTTGCATTAACACATACTAGCTATTCGTTGCTCGAAATGGCAAGGTATTGCATTGAGAGAGCTAAAATTTTACTTACTTTTTACCAGGAAAAGTTCAGACAGATCTCCTAGAGAAATAGATTCGGAAAATATAGACAGCTGGCTGGTTCACAACATAATATTTCTATAAGGCAAGTATATGAAACTGAAGCAAAATTAAGATTACAAAGTCTTCTGCCAACTGTTATTAAATCATCAAAGTATGGAGGAATTCCTATTTATCTAAATTGTAAAAACCTGTGTATTGAATCTCTGGAGCAAGAAAATATTGGATGCACTTTCTCAGGAAGAATAACTATTACAAATGAAGATATACAAAATGTTCAAAATGACATACCAATTTTAATGTATATAGCTGGTTACTGTAGTTATAAAGTTGTGAAAACTATTAAGCTGTGATATTTGTAAAGGCAATCTAACTATTGATAAAGAATTAATTGTAGAAAATGAAGGACAGTCTTGGATAAAAAGATTTGATAGAGGACTTCTATATCCTCATCCTGATGTACTAAATTCAGTAATATATAATTATGTTGTTATTTCAAAAACTTGTATCTGAAGAAATTTGAGAATGAATTTTTATTTTCTGCAAATCAGAGGGATATAGCATGCAACTTAACTCTAGACATTGTGATAGATAATAAATTTTTTTTTAAATCAAGATGCTTGCCCTAAAGCTCATGAGTCACAGAAAGTGTTAAAGCAGATTCTTTGGTCATCAACGAACACATTTTTAATTATTGCAAATTAAAGAATGATACACTAAACCAGAAAAGCATTGCAAAAGAGCGCAAATTGAAAACTTTAAAGCATAAATAAAAATATAATGGGTGTTTAGCAATTAAACATTTAAAAAATGTAGGTTTTAATTCAAATGATGCTGTATTTCATAGACTAGTAAGTTTATTTAATATAGTATTAGTTTAGTAACTTTAATGCATGTAACAAGACTAAAAAAATTCATAGCAAAGCTTAGTGATGCTCAGATCTATTTCTGCTGGAAAAATATTTTCGCATCTAACAGTTACTGTTACACATTATTGTGAATTCCTTATTATTTTTTTCTACTCATGTATGCTGTCTGTTTAACCTTGAGATCACTTGAAAAGTAATAGGAACGAAAAATTCATTTCTATGCTTCTATGTAAACAAGAGTCTGTGTTGTGTTCTAAGTGGCCTCTATTAATAAGTGGATATCAAATTAGTTAACATATGGGATAACATATCTCATGTACATTATCATTGTGATCGCTTGAAAAGTCATAATATTGAAAAATTCACTTCTTTGCGCTTAATTTCTTGTGGTGTAAAAAAGTGACTGGGTTATAGTTTAAGGGGCCACTTTTTTTATTATTTGGATATAATTTTGGTGTTAACCTGTGATAAAATACTTATCAATTAACAGTTATGTGTTTCAGCATGCCAACAAAATGACAAGTTTGTAATAATTACTACTGTTATACTTGAAATTGGTCATTATAATTTTGTTGATATGAACATGTACTGACTGTCTTATATTCAGATCACTTAAAAAGTCATAATATTGAAAAATTCATTTATTTGCCCTTAATTTCTTGTGATGTAAAAAAGTGTCTGGGTTGTGCTTTAAGTGACCACTGCTTTTATCATTTGGATGTAATTTTGGTGTTAACATATGGTAAAATGATTTCTCATAATAAAAGTTATGTGTTTCAGCATATATCTGCATCACTTGAAAAGTGATAATATTGAAAAATTAATTTCTGTGCTGTTTAACTGCTGTTGCATAAAACAAGTATCTAGGTTGTGTTTAAAAGGCAACTAATTTTATTACATGCATAGCATTTGGTGTTAACATTTGGTAAATTATTTTATCATGGTAATAGCTATGTGTTTCACCCTGCTGACAAAATGAAATGCTTATAGTTGATGCTGTTGTACTGAGAATTGGTCATTATAATTTTGTTGATATGGACATGTAGTGACTGTTACATTCAGATCACTTGAAAAGTGAAAATCTTGAAGAAATAATTTCTTTGCCCTTAATTTGTTGTCAAGTGTTTTAAGTGGCCACTATATATAGGAATATAACTTTGGTGTTAACATATAGTAAAATGCTTTATCATGGTAACAGTTATGCATTTCAACATGCTTACAAAATGACATGTTTGTAATAGCTGCTGCTGTTGCACTGAGAATGAGTCACTATAATTTTGTTGATATGGTCTGTTTTATATTCAGATCACTTGAAAAGTCATAATATTGAAAAATTAATTTCTGTGCTGGTTAACTGATGCTGAATAAAAAAGTATACGAGTTGTGTTTTAATTGGCAACTAATTTTATTACATGGATATCATTTGATGTTAACATATGGTAAAATGCTTTATCATGGTTACAGTTATTTGTTTCAGCATGGTGACAAAATGGGGTGTCTCATGTTACGAACACTTCACAAACATGTGATTTTCAACTCTTTTGAGATTACCTGTGTCACATAATGAACACTAAAGGTTTTCTGGAAAAATTATTTTGATATTTTCTTTGCTTAACTTAAACATGCCTTATAGCAAGATCATGATTTCAGTTAGGAAAATTTACAGCAAAACTGTGTTTTAGGCAGTGCTCGGATACTTTCAAATTAGATACTGGTTCATAAGTAAATGGTTTTATTTTTTTCTACATTTAAAACATTAACTGATAATCCCTTACTTTACATAATATCAATAAATGTTTTTATGTATACTGGTGATGCTGATTTCCACCCATAAGATAGCTATTATTATTATGATAATTATTATGATGTCCACCCCATCAGATAGCTATTATTATTTATAAAGCATATCTTCATATGCTTCATAAATAATAATCTATTAATTCTATCTTATAAAATTCATTATCATTTGTGCACTTGAAGTCTTTCAAATGGCAAAGGACAGTCTTTTCAAGAATTTGCCCAATATTTATGTGTACTATGGCAATATACATACATTGTGAAACTCTTGATGGTTGTTGTAAAAAGTTAATAATGGTGTTTTGTTGCCAGATAAAATGGGTTGGAATTCAACAAATAAAAACTTCAAGTTGCAGTACCAAAATTTAAATATTTAAGTCACATAGTCTCATTTGAGACCCAAGTAACATACAAGCAATTTCGAAATTTTCACATCTGATAATAAATAAGAATTGATGAGATTTATGTGTATGGCAATATATGATGATTAATGAGATTTCTGTTTAAATTTTCACAAGAAACTTTAAATAATTTATTGAAGAAAAGAAATCAGCTGGTCATCTTATTTGTATGTTATAACTTATGTGTTACCTTGCTATTCTGACTCTTTGCATAAAACTGTACATAACAATTTATTATTTTTCACTTGTGAAGCTTTATTTTCCAAGTTCATATATATAACTAACATAATACAATTGAGTACATATACAGTAGAAGTCCAGAAATCCGTAAAACTTGGGACCACAGGTTGTGCGGATTTTAGGACAGAAAAGATAAATCATAATATACAGACTAACATTGCAAAATAAAGAAGACATATCAGATACATTTAATTAAATTATTATATACATATTACAATAATTTATTATAAGCATTAAATTATTATATGTATTATATTATTCATTTACATTAGTGATTACAGGGATATTCAAAGGCATTAGGGATGTATTTAATAGACATATAAAAATAAGAGATATTATTAAGTATTTCTTTTTTTTTTTTAACATTTTTCTGATGGAGATTTGTTTTAAAACTTTAGGGTGCTCCAGAGTGAGGGTTTTTTTTTTTTTTTTTTTTTTTTTTTTTTTTTTTTTGTAAATTATATAAAATTTTAGGTATTATCACCATTTTCCAAACCCTCATAAAAAGATATTTTCTCACTTCTACCAAATGTACTATCTCTGTCATTGTCGGAATTATATTCTTGCTGTGGCAAGTTCAAGAGCCTTTGATTTCATCATCAGTCATCTGATATTCCAGTGTTGGCTTAGCTGCACACATCATCCATTCAACAATATCTTCTTGCAAGGCCTCCTCATTTATTCTTTCTGTTGAATATAAAAGCAATTCTCTTTCTTTAACCCTTGCTGCACTGACCCTAAAACCAGAAAATTCAATGTCATCACTCTCAGTTTCAATAAACAGAGAAGATGGCCATACATCACGCCAGGCATTTACTAATGTTGTTTGAGAAACAGAATTCCATGATTCAGCTAACAAATAAATACAGTCTTTGATGGTGAATTTTTTTTATAATCACAAAGTGAAATACAAGGTGTGTTCGAAAAGTTCGGTGATTGGTCTCATGATTAAAAAACTGCGCCAGTTAGGATCTTGCCCTCACGCAGACACAGTGAGAGAAATGTCATCTAGAGCTATCTAATGGCCATTTTACGACAGATAAGAGGAAGCACACGCTATGAGCAGTTTAACACAGTCAGTGTGAGAAAGATTGTCAGTGTGACATGGAGCAACGCATAAACCTAAAGATTTGCTTCAAGTTAGGCAAAATCTGCGACGAAGACAAATGACATGTTAGTGAAAGTTTAGGGTCAGGGAAGTGAGTAAAAAGTGTGTTTATGAGTGGTTTAAACGCTTTACAGACGGAAAGGAGGATATCAAAGATGAGCTATGGTCGGGGAGCCCTACAACAAGCACAACTCCAGACAATGTGGAACGAGTTCGACGGATGCTTGCGGCAGATCGACGACTATCTTTAAGAATGATGGACAGTGGAATCTGCTCCATGACAATGCTCGGCCGCACACTGCGATCTGTCTAACCCAATTCCTCAACAGGCACCAGGTTCCAGTTTTGGATCCCCTCCATATTCTCCAGATCTGGCTCCCGCAGACTTCTTCCTGTTTCTCCGCCTCAAAGGAGTTCTGAACGGCCAACACTTTTCCAACATTACTGAGATCCAACAACATGTGACAACAGTGCTTCGAGCCATACTGAAAGAAGCGTTAACAGACAGTTTCCAACAATTGCACACTCGATGTCAAAAGTGTATTGTTGCTAATGGCGAATACTTTGAAGGCCAGTAAAACTTGTTCCTCTTGTTTCCTTTTTTTATGATAAAATTCACCGAACTTTCCGAACACACCTTGTAGAATGGTCACTTGAAAGAATTTTTTTTTTTTTCAGAAACTCTCATTTATAGTGGCATTTAATACTGTGAATTATGCTCTGGTCCATTGGTTGGATCAATGATGTAGTACTTGGGGGCAACAAAAGGGCCATGATATCACCACATGTTAAAATGGTTGCATCTGGATGTGCAGAGCAGTTGTCTAAACAATAGTAAAATCTTGCTATTTTTTGGTAACCTCACACTGTTACAATGCCTTGTAGCCTCTTTAAGGAAATGTTTCATGAACCATTCAGTCATACGTTGTTTTGTGAACCAGGAATTTTTATTATTCCTGTAAATCACACGTAAGGATTTTAATCCTTTCATGGCTCTGGGATTGGTGCTCTTACCCACTACCGCTGATTTACATTTGTAAGTTCCAGCTGCATTGCTGCATACTAAAATGGTAACTCTTTCTTTAGCTTCTTTCACTCCTGATAGTGCACTTTTGTCGCTTGTCACAAATGTCTTTCTTGGTAGACATCGCCAAAATTCCAGTCTCGTCCATATTAAAAACCAGTTCTGGGCTAAGATTTTCTTCTGCCACTAACACAGAAAATTCATCAATAAACTCCTCTGCTGCATCTTTATCTGCTGAAAGTTTTCCCCCACATGCTTTCAGATAATATATACAGTGTCGCTGCTTAAATATATTCAGCCAACCACTCTGAAATCATGTGGCTCCTCTATTTTTAAATCAACATGAATCTGCTTCCCCTTTTCTCTCAGAAGTGGTCCTGAAATTGGTACCCCATCACTCCGCCGCTCCTGAAACCACTCGTACAAGATAGCATCGAGGTTTGCCAATTTCGCCTCATGCAAAGATTTCCGGTTTCGGATTCCAGTCTGGAATCACTGTTGCTGTAAAATTTCAACAGCATTTCTTTATTTTTCCATATATCATACACGGTCCAGATCATAATTATATGATTCTGCTACAAACTGAGGAGTAGTACCTGCCTCCATCTTGTGCAGAATTTCCACTTTCTGCATTACTGTCAATGCAATGTGTTTATGTTTTTCAATGTTGCAAGCAGTAAAATCATGAGTGTGTTTCTTATCTGTTATTGTATTTAAAAGTGCTGGAATTTAAAACATTCTTAATTTATCCACAAAATATCCAGATAAAAACAAAATGGTAGCACTAAACAATCTCGTGAAATAACAAAGCTCAGAAAATACAACTACGTGAATCATGAACTTGAAAGAAGAGTTGAGTGATTCGTCTGCTTTTTTACCTCGATGCCATTTGGAGGGGGAAAAAACTTTTACCATGATGTCAATAATTTGGCATTTTCATTATGACTCATTATTATTCAATAATTATGATGTCATTATCCGGTAAATATTTTTCCTTTGGTATTTAGTTCTCCATGCTGCGATTTCTGGAACCTATAACTTGAAAGTTTATATTTTGAGAGGCAACATGGATTTCAGGAGTTAGCAGATTTCAGGTCGGCGAATTTTCGGCATTTGACTGTTCAACTAATATTACTGGTTCTATGGTTTTAAGTAATAATTTTAAACTGCACATTGAATTATTTCCTAAACAAACCTCTAATACACTAATTTATTTGAAACTTGCAAGATACATAGAATATTATATATAAAATTTAGTACATTTTTTTTAAAGCATTTTCTTTTAAAGACAAATTACTGATGTGAAGAAAAATGAAATGATAAGTAGTAGTTTGTATGCAGATAATTTGGAAAATCTTTATTTGCATAAATATTAGAAAAATATACGGCAACACTTAGAACAGTAATTTTAAATATTAAATTATGAGGAAAAGTCGGAAATTCTTTATCAATTTAGTATGGCTGATTTTAACTTATTAAATGCTGCTGTTAAACCTCCCAGGATGTGTAATTCATTAGTTAAAGTCTAGGAATTAGAAACAGAACATTCTTAAATTTACATAAAATTTTATTCTGTTAAATTTTGAAGTAATTAAATTATTCATTATATATAATACTAAGACATTCCTTCTGCCTAATTAAAAACAACCATATATTTCAGAATGTTACGGCATTTATAATGATATAGTCAGACAAACAAAAGAGAATATCATTACATTTTTACTGCACATAATTAAAGAATTAAATCGCATATTTGTAGCACTGTACACTGTTACATCATTTGTAGAAGTTTTATTTTTCATTTTAGTTTTGAAGTTTATTATTCGTTTATGAACTAGATTGTTTAATGGCAAGCACACTAGGATTATGAGATTATGGAATGTAATTATAGAGGACTTCACACGTGAAATTACAGCTTATTTGCAATGCACACGAGGAAAGTACTAAAAAAACATATAACCAACCATTTCAACTGTTGATAACAGAAATTCCTGTAAACAATTGGCTTTTGTGACTTTAATCTCTGCACTATATGTGTATTAGTATAGACGAAATTTCTCCCTGGTCTTTGATATCTTGTAATTTTTTTTTAATTAATGGAAATGTTTACTATTTGGGCATGCTCAAACATTCATTTCATTTCTGAAATGATATGCTGCAAAAGAAAAATTAGATAAAATCTTGAGAAAACAGCTATGTTCTTTTTGAAATCATTTACAGCAGCAGCATAATGAAATACTCCAGCTGGTGTATGTAACAGTAATTACTAAAATGTTAAAAATTATTTTAATGTTTCTCTTTTCATTCTTTTTGTTTCTTAGGACATTTGGATCATATTCAGATTACATATGGAGGAAATTATGAAAACCAACCACATAGCCAGCCCATTCTCCAGGGAGATAACCTCGGACTGATGGTATATTTTCTCAAGAATAATTGACAATGTTTTAAAAATTATACAGGAAATAAAAACAGTCACCTATTACACAAGAATTTTACATTGTAATATTTGTAAAAACTTAAATGCGAATTAACTGCATTTTCAATTGCTTTAATTTCTGCTGATGCAGAAATACAGCAAAAGTATACTATGAAATAAATATTTAAAATCTCTGACAGTGAGCTAAATATATGAAATTAGAGAGAATTCTACAAAAAAGCAAATCTCAAACTTGAAACTTTAAAACCCTGACATACAATAAGTAAGATAAGCATACTCTCGGCTTTTTTACCTGACAGAATTTTTACATACCCCCTAATTTCATTACTGGTCTTCACTTTATTGTTTACAATCACTGCAAATTTTTTTATTCACTTCTAAATTCTCTAAACCAACATGTTTATTTACACAGAATGATACATTAATGGGGAATGAAGTAAAAGGTGAACTTTTAATATTTTTATAAACAGGAATTAAAAAATTACTTTAATGTACATCACAAAATACTAATACAAATAAATACCTTAAATGCAAAATGCTAAACTTTCACATTATAGTACAATTTTTTTTCAATAAATGAGCAAAAATTATACGTCAAATAGTAAAAATACAGTTGGTACCTGCATGTACACCAAAATGATGGTCTTAAATCTCAATGATCCTGCAGAATTCAGTACCATCAATTTCTAAAAATAAGAGTTTTCAAATAAATTCATATAGTAAATTAACACTTCATCAAACATTTTATGAATTATATAAATTACAGGATTTAAGATTACAAATAATGAAAATACTGTTCAAAGAATCATTTTCTGGAATCATATTTGTAAGCAATTAACCTATAAGTTAACTTAATTTGCAAGTCAGGAGGAAGTTTTTAAAAATTAAGATACAAAATGGAAATTAAAAAAATATTACATTAGTCAATCTCTGTTAAAAAGGAAACAAACAAAAAATGCAAACGTCTTTCCATTCCAGAACTGAAAGAATGAAAGAAAAAAAATCAAATTGTGAATTTTAACAGCTCTTTTATTTATAGCAACTACACATTTTATACAAGCAATTAGAAAGAACCTTGAATGTTTTCACCAAAACAGAAGTTGCAAATTTAGTGATTGTAGTGTGATTTTTTATACTGTATTATATATATATGCAAGTCAGTATGCTTGCAATGAACTTTTTAGACCAGGTTTTAAATTTACTTCTTACATAATAATATCATTCTTCATTTAAAAGATAAACCATATATTTTATGATAAAGAATGAAGTAATTTTATGACATTGTGAGTTTTTTCTGTTATAACATGTAATGGGCTGTAATTTGATTTACCCCTGTTTTCAAAACAGCTCTAAAGATCTATTCCTAATCATTTCATACAATTAAACTTCATTATATTTATTCATTTTCACCTGAATGCAAATTTTTCTCAGGCAGGCAATGCTCTGGTTTAATAATCCAGTCTCAATGTAATTTTTATAGTTTTTCAATAAAAAATTGCGTTTTTACTCAAAGCTGATACATATTTTTACTAGTACATGATTTTTCAAAAAGAAGTATGTTCATATTTCTGATTACCTATATTACATTCAATAATATTGTTGTAAATATTTAAATCCTTTTTAATTATATTTTATTTTCCTACATTTTTGCAGTGTTGTACATTGTTTTACTTAGCTATTTAATTATTTGTTGTTTTTAGGATGACAATTTGGGGATTTATTTTGCGTTTAACTGAAATTGTGGCAACATTTTGCATTTAAGAATTTAGAGAATTGTAGATATTTAACCGTTTCAATAAAAACATTTATTTGAAAAAAATTTTTCACTTAGAGCATATTTAATTTTGTAGGCAAGTAAGAACAGTAGACTTTACATATTCTTCATCATTTTCATTTTGAAATTCTCCTTTATCGCTTAAAGGATCATTACAAAATTCTTCATCAGATTCAAGATCACTACTTTCATTAAAACTGCCATTATCACTTTGATAAAATATATTCTCTATTTCTGTTATTACGGGGTTGAGTATCCCAAACTAGGTTCACCAAACTACTCAAATTATTTGTTCTGTTGCAACAGATACACATTACTTTGAAATAAACGAGAATGAATTAGCTAAATCTCGTCTCAGTTTCAATGATGTATCGGAACTTCATGTGCATCTTTGCCCAAACAAATGAATGGCATATTGATACATCAAATGCAGCCAAAGTGTTAACTCTTGAGTAATAATGTTTGAAGCAATAATGTTTGAAGTAGAGAAGAAGTAGCTCAAGAAAATGAGATAAGGGCAAATTCATTCATCATGGGCCTTGGCAACAATTTTTGTTTCCTATAACTTTCCGGAAGATTTGGGAAAACACATTTTGTAAGCTTTACGACTGATTCTTCCAGAAGAACCCATAAGCTCATATAAATATGGATCCAACAGCTAATGAGTCAACTGTGAATCAGCTGCAATATTTAGTAGATAGCTAAACAGCAATTTAGAATTTACTATGTGAGTGATTTTGAGAATTGAGACTTCTCATCACTAATGAGGAATTGCATAATATCCACATTCTCCTTTAACAATTTCTGGTTATTTATTATAATCCAAATTGTAAATTTTCATAATTATCTATTTTTCCTTGCTTATCTGGAGTGCAACAAATTTATAGCTCAAAACATTATAAAATGTTTCTTTTCAATTTCGTTTCAAATGGCAGCACACATGTAATTCTATAAAATGCTTGTTCTCACGTTTCTTATATTAACAATCATATGGTAATGTACATGCAATACGATAAAATGCTTGTTCTCATGTTTCTTATATTAACCCTCTCACTGCATACGTTTTTTTTATCAAAATAGATTCAAAAATTGCATTTTTTATTACATATTTCAAATCTACATATATTTTAGAGTTAAAATATACAACAATTTTTTGTAAAAGAGTTTTTTTTTTTTCAATATAGTATTAAATCATAGAAAAAGGTTGTCAGAATACTGAAATTGAAGAATAATGATATAAAAGGAAAATTATGAAAATTAATATTGGTTAAATTATGATTTATTTTATAAAATACAAAGGTAAAACATATATACTAATGAAAATATTTGCATAATGTAATATTTTGCATATAAATTTTCCCCACTGTCCAACATTTTCAATAGAAACTGAATTTTCAGATTCATCATTATCTGCAGAGGAATCTGAGAACCTAATAAAAAAATCACTATAATTATCTTCAATATACTTGAAATCAGAGTCAAAACTACTATCAGTGTCTTAAATATCGTCAGGAATATAGGTTATATCACTCGCGAAACGCTTTTCTGCCGGACATCTTTGAATTCTGAAAAGCGCGAGCAAAATGCTACATTAAGTATTCTTGTATATTTGGCAGAAATGTGGACAACTAACACCATCTGTTAGTCCCCATCTAAATAAACAATTAAACATCACAGAAAAGCTGAAATTAAACCTTGAACTAGGAAAGAGTGGATTGCACAGTTAAATAGACGGCAAAAATTCCTCCCCGTGAAAACCGTGGATTGTGTAAATTTTGCTACTTCTACGTTGCCCGTGGAAATCGTGGGATGCGCAGCGAGAGGGTTAACCCCTTAAAGCACGAGTTTTTTTTTTTTTTTTTTTTTTTTTTCTTTTTCAGAAAAACTGATAAAGAATGATCAAGTTTTTTTTTGACAGGAAATGAATATATAGGTATACTATAAGTTATTTTTTGCAATTTCAGTGGTGGGAGTTGACTGGGGAGCAAGGGGTGGGATAAAAGATATTACAAAAAATATATATTATACAAAGTGTAAACAATTTGATTACATGTTTATTTTGAATTTCAAATTATTAAAATCAAATTTTCATACTTGCAAGCATAAGTATTACTAAAAATTCAGTTTGGTATGATATACCATGAGGTATGATACTGTGCAAAGTCCAACATTACATCATCAGAGTTGCTTATTATCAGATAACTTTTCTAAGCAATTAGAAAAACACTTAATAAAAAGTTAATTTGTGGTTAACTGCTTACTTTTTATTATATTTACATAATAAAAATGGATATATTACCTTTTCCACACCAAACAACTGCTTTATAATAAAGAATTTCTAACAAATTAATCATCAAAATGCACCACCTGGTTTACACAAGGAAAATGATGCATAGTGGTGCCATCTATGTTAAATAAGTTTAATTATAATCCAGCCTATCTATTTTTACTGCAACTGATCTCAGATGGGCATTAGATAAATAGCGCAAGATACAAGAGAGCCCATGTGAGACACGGCCATGTGCAAATTTGCCGGTAACTTTCACCCGTGTCAGATACGGGCAAATGCATTCAGGGGTTAACAATCTCATATGGGAATGTACATGCAATATGATAAAATGATTGTTTTATCTTACCATATTAACAATTAAATAGTAGTGCATTTTGAATGTGAATTTCAAAATAAAATAATATACTAAATCACTGATTCTTAGCTGTGCTACAGTGAAGAATAGGAGAATCATTTCAATGTACTCCAACAAAATCTCTACACAATGTTTCACAGAAAACAGGTGTTTCAAAAGCCTTGGCTTACAGAGATATTAAATTATTACATTTGAAACATGAAAAGGTGCCTGCAAGCAAATGTGCTCCATTTTGAACAGACAGGTGTTACTCATTGCAGCCATAGAAATAAATAAAATGATTCATTAATTTATGATTTTTTAATCAAAGTTTATGAGAACTGAATACATGGGTTGATTACCTGCCTCTGCCTGGCACAAAGATGTTCAAAGTGCTGAAGTGATTCTCCAATTTCAATAATTTTGTATCATATTAAAAATATATTTGCATGTCATATGCAGAAATGTTGGTTCAAGTGTTAACATTTAACATTGCACTGCACACATAATAATAAACACACAAAATAATAAGCACCTTACAACCACGTCTGAACTCACCTCACCAAGTGAATGCTTTATTCTTATTTTGTTTTTTACAAATGTTGGCTGCAGGAAAATGAAAGATTGGGAAATTCAGTTCATTATTAAGTGCACAAGGATGGCAAACTGAAAAGCAATTCTTCAAGACACCTGCACGAAATATGGGTTAGGGCTCATTTTAGCAGCAACACGCAGCTTCAGATTGTCTGTCGAGAGCTGTTCCTGTGATAGACAGACAGTAGTTGTCCATTTGATGTGTGCAAACAATTAAGTTATATAGTACAAAGTCTTTAATCCGAACATCCATAATCCGGAATGATCTACAACCTGGACCTCAAAGCTACAAACTTTCTGCGCATGCGTAAATGCATTGCGCACAATACCTTTACGCATACGCATAATACCTTTACGCATGCACGTTTAATGTATAACGGACAGTATAAGCTAGGCGAAAATTATCTAATTATCAATTTCAGTTAATGTTGCAGATTGTGTTGTTCCTTAATCTTCTAATTGGATCCAGCTTATTATTTTTTGCAGACTGTTAGAACAATTTTATAAAAAGTAAGCTTGAACTTTCGATTATGTCAAAAAGAGTTTCCAATTCTGGAGCTGCCAAAGGATCCACAAAGTGAAAGCATGTTTCGATGTACCGCTTCCGATACTGAAGAAAGTGATAGAGAGGTTATTGAAAACGAAAAAATTTCGATTGACAAGTTAGTCGGTATTCTCGACACAGCAATTACAGGACATGAACAGTGGATCTGAACAAGAAATTATGTCTATTTATTGAATTAGAGAGAAAGTATTAGCACAAAAAAATAAAGCAACTTAAACAACTTACATTGAAAGAAATGTTTAATAAAGTAAACAAATAAATATTAAGCTTTTTTTTTGTAAATTTTGATACCCTTTAGATCATAATTGCTCTTTATTTCATAAATTATGGTTTCATATTTTTAATTGTATAATTTCTGCATCTTACCAGATTTAAATTGATGATCTATAATTCGGAAAAACCCTTAATACGGAATCACCAAAGTCCCGACGAGTCCGGATTAAAGAAATTGTACTGTAACTTATATATTCACTTTTGCATGTGCAATACAACAATACTGTGCTGTCAAACTTAATTAAAATGGATTCAAAGGTGATATATGATGTCATTTTCAATAATTTTTTAATGAAATGATTTAAATTTTAAAAGAACCTTCTAAACTGCACTAAAAAAGAAAGCTAAGCAATGATAATGATGATATTAGTGATTAGGCTTATGAGCCCGAGCCCAGTACATGTAAAGATGCTTCCTCCATCAAAAAATGTAATATTCATTGCAATTATAATGGCTACTTAAAATCTGGATTTACATCTACAAGAGAAAATAACCAAACTGCTCCTGAGTGTGTGGTTGTAAACTGTCAAACAGTGCTATGGTTCTGAGCAAGCTCCGAAGTCACTTGCTCACTAATCACCCTTTGTATCAAAAAAAAAAAAAGGTACTTTCAAAAATCATTATGTGCAAGATCCAAATAAGTAAAGGTTTTCCAAAAGCAATTAATTGCTCTTAAACCTCATAATTTGGCTGATCATAAGAAACTGATATTTATAAAATGCCACAGTTCACCGCAGAATTACAAACTTGTTCTAAAAATACTGCTGAAACTTTTGCAAATATGATACAATATGATTTTGCAAACTTTCAGAAAAATGATATTATTCATCAATTTTTGTTATGTCATGAATTATCCAATTTCACAAAAGAAAAACATATTTTCGTTTAAATTAATTTGTATTTAGAAGAAATTAAAATTATGTGGAATTTGTACACAGGGATTTGCCCAGATGACACTCCGGCTGTGACTGGATCCACAGGTGAATCTGAGAAAGTAGGCAGAAATTTACAGGGTGATAGAATGCAGCTATACAAGCAATATTTGTCATAGAAAGTTTGGGCAGAATGCAAAGGGCGAGTCACTAGGTAACACTGAAATTTGGTATAAAAAGGGTCGGTCCTAGCACCCAACGGCATTTTCTTCCATGGATTGCCGAGCGGATGGCTGTTATATGAACCACGAAATTTCCAGGGCAATTGATTGGTCGAGGTGGTCCTATAGATTGGCCACCAAGATCACCGGATCTCTCGTGTTTGGACTTTATCCTGTGGAGCCATATGAAAAGCTAGAGCAGAGTTTCTTAAACTGTGGGTCGCGACTCCCATGCAGCATGGGATCACCACAAATTTTAGCAGTTTTGATATTTCTTTAGCTTATAATAATTTTGCAATTACCAAATATTTTTACACAATGTATTTGAAAATAAAGATAAGACAATACAGACAAAGAAAAAACGAAAATGTTTTGATGCATTCTCTTTATAAATGTTTATTCTACTTGCTTTGCACGTGATGCTGTCATTTTGTCTATTACCTATTTAAAATTTTCACATTGTTCTATGTCTTAAAATTAGAAATTAAAGTTAATGACCTAAAACTGCAATAGTATATTACAGTACAAATGAAAAAAACACTGACAGTTTCACTCCCACATGTGTCGGATTTGCGCTATACTTATGGGGTCCCACAAAAGTTTCATAAATATTATGGGGTCCTGGGGTCACGAAAAAAATCTCAGTGATGAAAAGAGATCGCGACTGAAAAAAGTTTAAGAAGCCTTGGGCTAGAGTACACCCATATTACTTTACTGTTACTGTAACTGTCAAAATACCAGTTAATAAAAGCACTGTTCACTACTTAAATGACTTTCATATTTAAATCAATAATTGCAATTTGAATAAAAATTTAGCTCACAATTTAAAAATGTGACCATATATAAAAAAGTACATTTGAATGTAAAATGAAAGAAAGTTGCGTTTAGATATCTATATATACAGGTATTGTAGATTTTTACTTTTTTTAAATGTAGAAATTAGAGAAGAATTTTTTCATGAAACTTACTTTAGCTCTGGAAAATAGAATAAATCTTGATTCACATGCAAGTAAAATATTTGTTTTATGATACAAGCTTCTGTTGTCATGACTTCATTCTTGTTATGCATAAATGAGTTACCTAAATATAATCAAAATATTTTTTTTTTTTTTTTTTTTTTTAAATTTAACTGTCTCACTCACTTTACTACAACATTAATTACAACTTGTACACAGAAATTCCTTTCATCAAAAACAAGTAGAACATTTTCATTTTTTTTTTTTTTTTTTTTTAGGGGAGGGAATGGCAATCCCTAACACAATATTCCTATTTCATTATTTTATTCAAAACTAATTTAATATAATCATCTATAAATGTATTTACTTTGATAAAGAAATACAGAACATATTCATGAACAAGTAAAGAGACTCATTTATTCTACAACTATATTATCTCAAAATTTTAGTTAATACAGTCAGTCCACTAGTAGCTCAGAAGTATAAATGCACATTTATCTTGAAATCTAATCTCAGGCAGGCAGCCTTGCTGCATAAACATGCTTTAAGTGCTTCTTCTAATGTAAACATGAATTAGTTTCCTTTGTAAAAAAATTCTTGACTGCACAGATGTGCTTTCTCATAAATAAAGAAGACTTTCTTAAATAAAAGTAATCCTTTTTCTATTAAGAATTTTGCATAAAAAATCATAAAATATACAGTTTGCAATAACAGGAGTAGAATTCCAGATTTCAGTTAAATAGTATGACATAAATGGAACTATAAGATAATTTAGTATAGCAAATGTATCCAGAAAACTTAAAGGTCTGAAGCATGAAGAATAAAATTAGAAAAACGATTCAACAAGAAAAAAAAGCAAATATCATGAAAAGCTAAAAACAAGCTCAATTTTCAACAAGTCAACATTAAAAACCAACAGAGATAATCCCAGCTTACAGCACTATACCAAACATCTTTCAAATGACGGACTCAGTTTCAAAATAATTATTCTAGAATTTATTTATTTTTTAATTTTCAGTTTGAAAACAACATATTAATATTCTTGTGAGAAGGAACTAAGCAAAGTTATTTATTAATTTATTTACAAATGTCCAGCTTTTGACACTTGAGCCATTAGCCATCTTGCTTTCCAGTACTTCTGAGTGATAGAATTAAAACTATCAAGTGCAGAACACATGTTTGAACACTTTTTGTCCATAGGTTGTCCAGTGTCACAAAGAGAAAATGCTGGAAAATTTTTAGTCTAATCTAAAAGATAAGCATTCAAGCAATCTTGTCCATTCAAAAGACAAAATAGCAACACTGCTGTAGCACAAGCAGAATCATTAAATATTATATCTCTTGACCAGGAGATATTGCCAAGCAATTCCCTTGTGCACAAATGTGAATCATGAATCTTCCAATATTCCATATTTATCAGTCTTTTGACAGAATGAAAGTTTATATAATTTCTGGGTTTTTGGAAGACAGTCATTTCTTTCTTTCCTTTCCTTGCCAAATCTGCACTTTCATTTCCAAGTACTACACAACATGCTGGTACCCACTGTATTGCTATTGAGTTAATAGGAATATTCAAAAGATGACATCACTCATAAATGCATTTTGTTCAGAAGCTAAAATGCTTAATTTTTAATACAAAATTTACTATTAAGAATTTAAGAAAAGCACACAAATCTGACAATGATTCATTTTTAGTTGAGATAGCATTTTTCTTTGTTTAATAAGTTATGACAAATTTCATGAGGTCTAACTGCCTTAGAGGACACATCACTTTGAGAAGACACATACACTGTGTTTTTGAATTAGTGCATATAATATTAATAATCATTTACAACAATTACTTGCCAATTTAATATTGACAAAAATTAAGTTAGTCAAATGTGAAAGTTCTGGCTGCCATATAAATGAAAATGGTCATTTTAAATAAACAGAAACTGGTGAAAATGAAAGTAAATTGTTAATGGTCCATAAAATTTTTTTGCATGACCAGAGTTTAATTTCAAAAGCTTAACACGGCTTAACCAAGCACAGAAGCTAAAATGACAGTTCTGACAAATGAGACAAAACATTCTAATTTTAACATATGATTTACGTTATGCCACTCATCTGCATATAACTATGAAATCTGAACATTTATTTACTACAGAAAATAACACAGAATACAGTACACAATTGTTTACTATTGCCTTT